TTCTTTCTTTCTTTCTTTCTTTCTTTCTTTCTTTCTTTCTTTCTTTCTTTCTTTCTTTCTTTCTTCTTTTTTGATGCTAGATTGAACACAAGGCCTGTGGGTGCTAGGTGAGCCTTGTATCCCTGAGCTACATTCCTGCACTTTCTACAACTTTAATTTTGAGTCAGGCCAGGCCTGGAGTCCAAGGAGTAGTGCTCTTGCCTCTGTCTCCCTAGTTACCAGAATGCCACATGTGCACCACAATACCTAGATTAAAGTAGTGTTCTGGTAGCAGTCAAGAGATGCACTGTTTTCCCCTAGTTCTGTTGGTGGTTTTGATTTAATTTACAAATGAACATTTATAAATTATTATCACTTTTAAGAGGAATTTCCTTAAAAATAAGTATGTTTATTCCTTTTTTATGCTGTAGAGTTGAGATGTGGTACAAGAAATAAGTCACAATGAATGTGTTCAATCATTTCTTTTCTCTGATACTGTTTCTTCTTTGTCCTCTTTTATGAAAAAGGTGAGAAGATGGAAGACTTTTCCAGGAGAGATGAGTCAGTCATAGAAAACTTAACGGAGACCTATGCCAACTCTTCCTTCTACAGAGATACAAAAGCTGAACTAGATCAACTCTCAGTCGGTCAGAAGAAGAGGAGCTTAGCCTTCAAGGAGTTCACCTGTGCCACCTCCTTTTGGCACCAACTCAGATGGATTAGCTGGCGCTCATTTAAAAGCTTCTTGGGTGATCACCAGGCCTCTATATCTCAGGTAACCTGGAAGGTGCTTTTCATTGTGCTGTGAAATAGTTATGTGGGGAAAATTTGATGCTTATTTATTCTTTTTCAGGATTTATCCACCCTTCCATGTATTTATCATCCCCATTCCATGTAGGATATAGAAACAATTGATAGTACAAGAAAACAGTTTTAAATTTTTAATTCTTGACAGCTTTTGTTAGAATAGTTCAGAACATTTAATACAAATTATAATGGATAATTTAATCAGAATTTTCATTTTGCTTTGAACTTTGTAAACTAAAGGAAATACCACTTCATTTGTTTTTTTTTCTAACAGCTCTCCACTTTAATTCACTGGTCCATTGCAGAAAACCACTAGAGGGTCATGTGTTGCACTTTGGGGACTCTAATACAATGAGTAAAAATAAATATCTCTGCTTTCATGAAGCTTATCTTCCTATGAGGGCATAAATGCTATAATTGAATAAAAATAAGCATGTCTAGTGACAAAAGGAATTGTGTTGTAAGCCTGAGCAGTGTTGGGGTGAGGGATGAACAGGGAGGGAAGGAGATCAGGTTAAAACCGGCAATGAGGGAACCCAGTGCCCCTGAGCTGACTTGGGGGCAGTGAGGGCTGTGTGCTGCTTGAGCAAAGAGCAGGTGCTGTTCCTTATTGGTACTTTTCTGTGTTTAGAGACCCAAATCTTTGGAAAGCAATAGAAACTTCAAAGAGTTTTCAGTCTATAAACAGACAGGGACCAAACTTAAAAACTGTCTCTTCACCAAGGTGATATAATGTGCTTTTCTTTTTGCTGGTTCTGTGGATTTTGTTGATTACTAAACTTTGTGGTTTTTCTGTTATCCTTAACCCTGATAGCACATAAACACTAGTTTTCCTAGTTTATTTCCTAGTTTTCCTAGTTTATTTTTCAATAATTTATAGGAGAATCAATTTAGCTGGTTCTTGAGTTGTTGTTTTTATTATCAACCAATGATTTTCTATTGAGTTTTAGATGACTGCCCATCTTGGCACTAATGAAATACTATAGAGTACTTAAAATGCACACTTGCTGCATCCAGAGTGGCTCTCAAAGTTCTGGATGGAGGGTAGGACAGGAAGAGGATGGAGAAGTAAAAGAGATAGAAAGCTGAGATCAGATGGAGACCTCTCTCCCGCTGGAAGGAAAGGAACTGTCCAAAGACTGCAAGGTGTTTATCTATACCCTTGAGAGGTTGATGTCAATTTCAAGCTCTCTGCCTAGCAACTAGTTTGCTAGCTGAAAAGCTTCTTTATGTGGCTTGTCTGGAGCTCTCTGTGTTCTTGGGGCCAGCTTTGTCTTAGCCCTGCACATGTGATTGATTTCCAGCTTCAGCTGCTCCTCACACACACTGTAATTTCAATGTTTGACTATTCTTTTCATCCAATGGAAGGTTAACATTATTATTGGAGTCACCCTCTCAACTGCAACAAAAGTTTCTGTTGCCTGCAATTTATCATTCCTCTAAGAACACAGTCATTTTGGTGGCACATCAATAAAGAGTAATTTTTTTCTTTGAGAATAGATTTGATATCATTTGGAAACAAGTTAGATGAGGTATATATATCTCAACCTGGTTACCTGATGATGAACACTGAGGTGATGTAATGAGTTGGTTTTTTTTTTGTTTTGTTTTCAGATCATGTTTGGAATACATAGTGCTCACATACCTTGTAGGGAGTTTTCACTACACAACTCAATTCCTTTTCACTCCCTTCCCTCCCGCTCCTACCGTTCTTGCCATCCTCCTTATGTTGATACCTTTCCATTCGGAAAAGTTCTATCTCCCTACTTCCTGTTATATGTCTTCTGTTTTTCTCTTTATTCATACTTTGAGATTCTCTTGTAAGAGAAACCATGCAATATTTAAGTTTGTGTGCCCGATTTATTCCTCTCAACACTATGGTCTCAAGGTGGACACATAGTCTTACACATGACTCAAGTTTATCCTTCTTCATGGTAGAGTAGGACTCTGTTGTATATAAACATCACATTTCTTTTATCCATTATTCTGTTGGTGGACATGTAAGGCATTTCCAAGATACAGGTATTATGAATTGTGTTGCTATAAACATGAATATTCATGAATCACTGTAATACGATGTTTTACTGCTTTTAGTAACTTACAGGGACTTCTTGCATGAGGTTTTTTTTCTTTCTTGCTCAAAAAGTATTTTGTAGATATCTGATCCAAGCCAAATATACAGTGGTTCTGGGCAGCACATGATTAGAACACACCTACACGGACACACCAGGAGGGTGTGTGGTTTGGGGCTAGGCTTCCTTATGCTGTAAGCACCAGGTGCATGTCCAGCCTCTGTGTTGCACCAGGGAACTCATTTTCACAAAAGGAATCCCGGCGAGGTACAGAGAAGCATCAGTCTCTAGAGTAAGTGTAAGACCTTGTATCTCCCCAAGCTTTGCATGGCAATGACTGTTCAGGGTTAGAAATATTGGGATAGTAGTAGAACAATAAGAAATCCTTTTTGGTAGAGGGTGAGATAGTAAATATTTTAGGCTTTGCAGATCCTATCTGGTCTTTTTCTCAGGTTGTGAATTCTGATATTTTATTGTGAACACAGTCATAACTAATATGTAAGGAACTGAACAAGGCTGTGTGCTGGTGCAATTTTATTCATGGATACCAAATTTTCAATTGAATATATATTTAATATTTAAGAAGTAATATTCTTGATCTCTTTACCCTATTATTAAAATTGGTAAAATCTAGCCTTATCTCATAGCTTAGCACAAATAGATGTCTGGCCGTCTGGTCACTGGGCCTTTGGTTACTGACCCTTGGGATAGGTTTTTCATTTTGTAGGGTTATTATTTCTCTGTTTTTGTATAGGGAGCTATTGAAATATTTATGAATTCCTGAGAGTAAATCTTATATCTGTTTTCCTACAGCTGTTTTTGTTTTTCTTAGACTTGTTTTATATTTCAGTGTTTCAGCACTGGCCGTTACTAATGGTTGTATTTGGGCGATCTTGCCATGAATGGGTTATCTGTTTAAGGAGAGTATTGTTCATTTAATGTAACATGGGTTTTTCTGATCAAATCAACTTGACAGGCATAACAGTGTATCACATGGAGAGTCCTTTCTACTGCATATTAAACATTTGACTCTGGACTCATTCTGCTAGCATTAGCCATAAACATCCCTCGGAAATATACCATCAGAAATATTGACTAAACATCTTTGAATAGTGACATATTTGGAGAGCTGGTTCTTTATTCTTTTTCAACTGCTTTTTTATAAAAAGGGGACTGAGACCAGGTGCCCAATGCTCATAGCATTGTCATTTCTTCTACCGTGCAATGGTCAGTTTGCCTGAAGTCTTCTTTCATGACAGAATGAATAACACTTTTGCCCCTTATAAAAGCAGGACTTTCTCATGAAATTCATTGTATTTCCAGTATATCTGACAGCTGACTAAAGTAGTTTAAGAACTTGTGTGAATCATCTTATTGATAATAATGATATTATTGGTGCATCTTAGTTTAGATCTTGTGTCCTTACAACGTGCCATGCACTCAGAAGTGGGGTTTTAGAGAGTGATTGGATTATGGGTTTTAGAAAGTTAGTGCATGACATAGCTCCCTTGGTGCTAGGAGATCTGGATGATTAGCAGTGGGTCACTGGTGCCATACCCTGGAAGAGTACATCTGCCTCCCTGCAGCCTCTGTTCTCTCTCTGCTTCCTGTGCACCATAACATGAGCATCTTTCTTCCACCCAGACCCTTCTCCCACATAGTTTCTTCCTTGGAGTCAGCTAACTCTCACCTGAAACCTCTAAAACCATGAGTCACAATAAGCCTTTCTTCCTTTAAGTTGTGGGTGATAAGTACTGTGCCCCAGTGACAGGAAACTAACCAGGACATGGTATCAGGTGTCATGTTTGAATGGAAAAACGCAGGATGGGGAGGATCCAGCTCGATGAATATCATAAATGTTTTACTCAGCAAAAGTATAGGTTATTGCACACATATGCATACTGCACGTTGATAAAGCCACCAGTGTGTATCTTGGAAAACTGCTCTGCTGAAAGGAAGGAGTATTCTTAGAGTATAGTGAAAATACGCCCTGGTAATGGAACCGCCTTCATACTATTATTTGATTGGCAAGGGGATTTTTGAAGGTTATCCTATGAGTATGACACTTTAATGATAGCCTTCATAGACTATCATTTTCAGGAACTACCCTTTACAGATCATTATTCTGTTTTACTACTTAGCTGTTTTTCAAGTCCAAAGTTGTTTATAAATTACTGCATGTCTTGATACTGCTACTGTATTGAGATTTTTACAGTTATGACATTTCCAAGATAATTTTCATTTCAGATTATCATTTCTCTATTTTCATATGTAATCAATGTGCAGTATAATCCATGAGTAACTGTAGGTAAAATTCCTCCACTACATTACATCATAAAGTATTGCTGAAGGCTTTGCTAATTGTTGGTCCTTCAGGGACTTTTTATACTCAAAACAAAGGAGATATTGTGCCATCCCCCTGGGAGCCATCAACACAGTCTGAGTAGGTGAGGGATGCAAGCACTGGCAGCTCAGGCAGCCATGTGGACTGCAGGCCTCACTGGCAAAGTTGGTGGAAAAGCAGTGACAGAGGTATCACTTTAGTGTTCCAGGGAAAGCTGGCTGAAAGATTTGGTTAAAATGACAATTCCCTTTTCTATGCATTCAGAGACTTCTTACGATTTGGATAACTGGCATGCATTTCATGCATAAATCCTTATTGTGTGGAAAATGCCCTTGTGTGCTTTAAACATTTTATTATTATTAATTCAATTTTTGTTACTCAGGATCAATCCCAGAATTTTGTTTACACTAAGAGGCACTCTACCTCTGAGCTACTTCATAGACCTAAAATTATGCTTAAATTCATCTTTTTATTTTATTCTCCTGAAGTATAAAACTGTGCATGTTCCCTGGCACAGAGACTGAGATGTAGTTCAGCACACAACTCTTAGTCATGTAGCCTTTATTTTGTTCCCATAAAGACCCCTGCAGGAGCCTGCATTTCTCTTTTACATTTCTTGGCATTCATGAGCTCAGCATCTGAGCTGTGCTATGATCTGGCAGTGCCTGGAGGGACACTGCGAAGAACTTTAACTTTTCCAGTCATCTCTTCTGTTGTTCTGTCAGCTCCTCAAACAACTCAAAAATTTTCAGCTTACTGTAGGAAACAGTCTAATCAAGAACACTTTATATTCTCCATGGAACTTTGACCAGCACATTTAAAATCTTTAGTTGAATGGCAATATCTATATATATATATATATATATATATGTAGTCTATATCTATGCCAATAGTAATAATATGTAAAAATGTTACCTCTAGTTGAAACTCTTTCCTGTTTTATTTTTCTTTTTTTGAAAGATCATTATCACAATTATAGAGGGACTGCTTATAGGTGCTTTTTTCCTTGGGACAAAAAATGAATGTGTTGCCATCCAGAATAGGTAAGTAATTTTGTGTCTTGATTGTGGCAAATACAGGAACTGTGTTGAAGCTGATTTATATACGTTAAGAATGTTAGTGTAAAACAATTATGGTATATTATTCTATTATTGTAGTGACATAAGTTGATATATGAAAACTCAGTAAAAAGTTTTACTTTCTATGTCACACCTGTATGCATGTATGTTGTTTTAATGTGTGCACAACACATATTTTCAATTTTAATTGTTTTAAATGTACAGTTCAGTAGCATCAAGTACATTCACATTACAGCTACCACAAGCATCCAACTCCACAGCTGCTTTTCATCTTTGCAGAAAGAATGTCCATATCTAGCAGAACTGTAATTTCCCATACAAACTATCCAAACTCCTGATTAATACAATTCTCCCTTTTGTCTCTGAATTTTACTACTCCAGGAGCATTCTGTATATGGAACTACAGAGAATGTGGGGTCTTTGTATGTATCATATTTCACTAAACACATATCCTCAAGGTTCAGTGAAGTTTTAACTCATGTTTGAATTTTATTCCTTCTTGAGACTCAGTAATAGTACACTATGTTAGGCAGAAATTTAGCTATTATCAGGCCAAGATGGTTTGTTTCTCCATGAAAATCAGAGAAAACATGTGGTTGTTTATCCTTTGCTTTCTTAATGATTAGCTATAGATAAGATTCATAAAACTTGTGGTTCAAACTGTAGCACCCATGAATATAATATTCTGTGAGCATGTTGAAAAGATCCAGGACTTATACAAAGTCCAGACAATGGCTAAAGATTTGGAAAACCTCAGGGCTTCAAAACATACCGAAAACAGCTATGTAGGAAGTACACCATAGTCTAGAAGTTCATCATTTCTGTGGTAAAATAAATACAATAACCTCAGCTTAAGCAAAAGATATTCCTTGCAAGTCTCATTTCCTGGTCATGGAGAGGGTTTGAACCAGTGTCTGCTTCTACTCTTCCCTTTGATCTCTCTCCCTCTCCTTTTTCCTCAGAGCAGTTCTACATTCTTTCCTTCTCTTTGATTAGTTAAATGTTACATAATTTCTGGAAAGATTTGTGGGTAAAAAACTCACCTAAGGGTATTTAAATAATTGAGGTGTTTACATTTCTGCTCTATTCCTGACAGAGTCTGGATGTTCTATCTGTTGATAATATCCCAGTGCTTTAGCTACTGGACTGCAATACATCTCTTTCTGGAGGAGAAAAAGCTCTTTATGTGAGTAGGGCTGTATTCTGGGAAGGGCCATCAGAGGATGTTGGGCAACTTGCATCCAGAATATGGCTAAGATTGTCATGCTGGATGTTACTAGTGTTTATTAAAATTTCCTTTTGTAATTGTTTAGTTTTTAATTATAAATTATAAATATTTGTCATTTATAAAATGAAATTTTAAATTCTTATGGACATTACCAACATTTATTGTGTAAATGTAGCCAAGAACAGGGGAAAAATCAAGCATTTCTGGGGCCTGATACCAAGTGTCTTTGTTACTTTTCACTTGTCGCTGAGACAAAATACCAAACACAAAAAATTAAGGAAGGAGAGGTTTATTTAGTTCAGTCTGTGGAGGTTTCAGTCTGTAATCAGCTGGTTCCAACGCAGGGTAGCATGGCTGAGGGGCAACAGTTCAAGGCAGCACAAAATGACAAAAGTAACAAAGCAAATGGCGGGGAAGCAAGCCTTTTTCCCTCCCTTTTATTGTAGGCAGGATACCACACCCCAGGGCAGGTATAGTGCTCACACAGCCTCCATTCCCTTCTCTTACACAGGAGGAGGATACTTACAAATAAGGACCCTGGCTCCCTGCTGAGTTTCTCAGTTAAACTTCTGTACTTTTCAAGTTGACACAGTGTATAAACCTATCAATCCACCCCTTGTCAAGGTGGTAACCAGACACATTTCTTTAAACTAGTTTTCAGATAGAAAGACATACTTATTTGTATCATTTCACAAATTGAACATTATAATAAGTTTAATAACAAAGGAACTGCAAATAACAATTCAACAGCTGTAAGATGAGGCAAAGAAACACAATATAAGGCTGATAGGTGTCAACGAAAGAGCAGGAGACAACATGCATAACATAAAAAGACTATTTCAGCAGTAATAGCACAAAATTTTACAAGCATGGGGCAGGAACCTTAGATACACATAAGTGAGGCATATACAACCCCAATTAGCCTTAACAAAAATAAATCTACACCCAGACACATAATAATCAACACCCCAGAAACTGAGCAAAAGAACAGGATGTTAAAATCTGTTAGAGAAAAGAAACAGATCATCTATGAAGGAAAACCCATCACAATCAAGCAGACTTCTCAACACAGACCATTAAGTCAAAAAGAGCTTGGAGTGAACTATTTCAGGCCCTGAAGGAAAAGAACTTTCCACCAAGATTGCTGTACCCTGCAAAGCTATCTTTCAAAACTGATGGAGAAAACAGATACTTCCATGACAAAGATCAACTGAAGAAATTCATGAGCAACTAATTAATCCTACAAAGAGTGCTGAAAGAAATTCTAAAAAGAGATAAAAATGACCACGATCTCAAGACCAGTAATAGAAAAGAACTACCAAGCAAAGTGAGGAGTTAAACAGAGGGGGAAAATACAGAACCAACAGTGGGAAAATAACATGACTTATTCTGACAAGAATAAGTCAACACATATCATTAATAACCCTTAATGTAAATGGCTTCAGTTCGCCAATCAAAAGAAATAGACTTGCAGAGTGGATCAAGAAACAAAATCCAACAATAGCTGCATAGAAGAAACACATGTAACTCAAAAGGAAATCCATA